ATCTACATACAGTGGATGTAAAAAGTCTGCACACCCCTGTTAAAACGTCAGGTTTCTGCGATGAAAATGAGACAAAGATAAATAATTTCAGAACTTTTTCCACCTTTAATGTGACCTGTAAACTGTACAACTCAGTTGAACAACAAACTGAAATCTTTTAAGTGGAGGGAAGTAAAAATAAAAAACTAAAATAATCTGATTGCATAAGTGTTCACACCCTCACATTAATCCTTTGTTGAAGCCCCTTTTGATGTGATTTCAGCACTCAGTCTTTTTGGGGAGGAGTCTATCAGCACGGCACATCTGGACCTGGCAATATTGCCCGCTCTTCCTTGCAGAAACTTTCCAAATCTGTCAGATTGCGAGGACATCTGTGCACAGCCCTCTTCAGATCCCCCCCACAGATTTCCCATCGGATTCAGGTCTGGGCTCTGGCTGGGCCGATCCAAAACTTTCATCTTCTTCTAGCCAGGGATGGACTGACCATTTGGAACTCGAGCATTGCCCGAGGGCCCGGGGTCAGTAGGGGGTCCCATGAAATGCCCCTGGTACCTTTCATAGGCTTTTTTGGGTGTTGTTTGAGTTTGGGCAAGGACACAGGGGCCCCATGATCCCCTATTGCCCGGGGCCCCATGAGTTGTCAGTCCACCCCTGCTTCTGGTGAAGCCATTCCTCTGTTGATTTGGATGTATGCTTTGGGTTGTTTTCATGCTGAAAGATGAAGTTCCTCTTCATGAAGCCGGAAGGTTTTGTGCCGATATTGACCGGTATTTGGAACTGTTCATAATTCCCTCTACTTGGACTAATGCCAGCCAAAAACGGGTTGAAAATCGGCTTATTTTCGCACCATTAGTGGGTTAATTGGTCGGCCGTTTTTTTTGGGCTTTTTGCACATTTTTTTTTATCGGGCATGTTGGAAAATTCACGGCCCATTTTGACAATCGTTTTAATGATAAAAAAATCTGTGCATGAGCTGTGATCTGCAAGAACGAGAAAAAAGAAGTAGAAGAAAGAAGAAGAGGGAGAAAGAAGAAGAAGAAAGAAGAAGAGGAAAGAAGAAGAGGGAGAAAGAAGAAGAAAGAAAAAGAGGGAAGAAAGAAGAAGAAAGAAGAAGAGGGAAGAAAGAAGAAGAGGGAGAAAGAAGAAGAAAGAAGAAGAGAAGGAAGAGAAAGAAAAGAAAGAAGAGGGAAAAAGAAGAGGAGAAAGAAGGAGAAGAAAGAAGAGAGGAAGAAGAAAGAAGAAGAAAGAAGAAAGAGGGAAGAAGGAAGAAGAGGGAGAAAGAAGGAGAAGAAAGAAGAAGAGGAAGAAAGAAGAAGAAAGAAGAAGAGGGAAGAAGGAAGAAGAGGGAGAAAGAAGAAGAGGGAGAAAGAAGAGAGGAGAAGAGAAAGAAGAAGAAAGAGAGGAAGAAGAAGAGGGAAAAGAAGAAGAAGAAGATGAAGAAAGAAGGAGGAAGGAAGAAGAAGGAAGAAAGAAGAAGAAGATAAAGGAAGAAAGAAGAAGGAAGGAAGAAGAAGAAGAAGGAGGAGAAAGAAGAGATAAGAAAGGAAGAAGGAGAAGGAAAGAAAGAAGAAAGAAGGAAGGAAGAAGGAGAAGAAAGGAAGAGGAAGCAGAAGAAGAAAGGAGAAGGAGAAGAAACCAGAATTCCAGTCCGCTATTATATTTTATATGAAAAGTCTTGCAGTTGCAACAAATGTATACATTTGTATCCAAATAAACACATCTGTATCCGAAATGGATACATTTTAGTTGCAACCTCAAGACTTTTCATATAAAATATAATAGCAGGACTGCAATTCCTCTTCTTCCTCTTTTATTCTTCTTCTTATTCTTCTGTGTTGCTCCCCTGTCTCTGCAAGGGACAGAAGTAATTATGGGGTTACATGCCGGCCATAGACTGGACAAAAATTGGCCGATTTTTTTACCGTTGGTGGTAACGTGGGCCGATCGAACTACCGATTTTTCGGGGTTTTTTTTTTAAACGGCCGATTTTTGACCCGTCTATGGCCTGCATAAGACCCCATTTCCAGCTGAAGAAAAACAGCCCCAAAGCATGATGCTGTCACCACCATGCTTCACGGTGGGTATGGTGTTCTTTTGGTGATGTGCAGTGTTGTTTTTGTGCCAAACATATCTTTTGGAATTATGGTCAAAAAGTTCATCCTTGGTTTCATCAGACCAGAACACATTTTCACACATGCTTTTGGGAGACTAAATGTGTTTTTTGCCACTGTTGGCGATGTCCACTGTTGCCACATTTAGCCGGGCTTGGATGTTCTTCTTCATAAGAAAAGGCTTCCGTCTTGTCACTCCACCCCATAGCCCAGACATATGAAGAATACGGGAGATTGTTGTCACATGGACCACACAGCCAGGACTGGCCAGATATTCCTGCAGCTCCTTTCATGTTTCTGATGTTTGTTGGCTGATGTCTCTGTTGGCGATGTCTCTGTTGGCGATGCCACTGTTGGCGATGTCACTGTTGGCGATGTCACTGTTGGCGATGCCACTGTTGGCGAGGTCACTGTTGGCGATGCCTCTGTTGGCGATGCCACTGTTGGCGAGGTCACTGTTGACGATGTCTGTTGGCGATGTCTCTGTTGGCGATGCCACTGTTGGCGATGTCACTGTTGGCGATGCCTCTGTTGACGATGCCACTGTTGGCGATGTCTCTGTTGGCGATGCCACTGTTGGCGAGGTCACTGTTGGATGCCACTGTTGGCGACTGTTGGCGATGCCTCTGTTGGCGATGCCACTGTTGGCGATGTCACTGTTGGCGATGTCACTGTTGGCGATGCCTCTGTTGACGAGGTCACTGTTGGCGATGGTCACTGTTGGCGAGGTCACTGTTGGCGAGGTCACTGTTGGCGAGGTCACTGTTGGCGAGGTCACTGTTGGCGATGTCTCTGTTGGCGATGTCACTGTTGGCGATGTCTCTGTTGGCGAGGTCTCTGTTGGCGAGGTCACTGTTGGCGAGGTCACTGTTGGCGATGTCTCTGTTGGCGATGTCACTGTTGGCGATGTCACTGTTGGCGATGTCTCTGTTGGCGATGCCTCTGTTGGCGATGTCACTGTTGGCGATGTCACTGTTGGCGATGCCACTGTTGGCGATGTCACTGTTGGCGATGTCACTGTTGGCGATGTCTCTGTTGGCGATGTCACTGTTGGCGATGCCTCTGTTGGCGAGGTCACTGTTGGCGATGTCTCTGTTGCTGATGTCTCTGTTGGCGATGGTCACTGTTGGCGAGGTCACTGTTGGCGATGTCTCTGTTGGCGAGGTCTCTGTTGGCGATGTCACTGTTGCCGATGTCACTGTTGGCGAGGTCACTGTTGGCGAGGTCACTGTTGGCGATGTCACTGTTGGCGATGTCTCTGTTGGCGATGTCACTGTTGGCGATGTCGATGTTGGCGAGGTCACTGTTGGCGATGTCACTGTTGGCGAGGTCACTGTTGGCGATGTCTCTCTGTTGGCTGATGTCTCTGTTGGCGATGTCACTGTTGGCGATCACTGTTGGCGAGGTCACTGTTGCCGATGTTGGCGATGTCTCTGTTGGCGATGTCACTGTTGGCGATGTCACTGTTGGCGATGTCTCTGTTGGCGATGTCACTGTTGGCGATGTCACTGTGGCGAGGTCACTGTTGGCGAGGTCACTGTTGGAGATGTCACTGTTGGCGATGTCACTGTTGGCGATGTCTCTGTTGCGCCATATTCTCTCCACCTGATGACTGTCTTCACTGTGTTCCATGGGATATCTAATGCCGTGGAAATTCTTTTCTACCCTTCTCCTGACTGATACCTTTTAACAATGAGATCCCTCTGATGCTTTGGAAGCTCTCTGCGGACCATGGCTTTTGCTGTAGGATGTGACTAAGAAAATGTCAGGAAAGACATTGCTTCATTATGAACACAGCTATCCCCAGTTATAAGAGGGTGTGCACACTTATGCAACCACATTATTTTAGTGTTTTATGTTTACCCCCCCCTTAAAATATTTCAGTTTGTTGTTCAATTGAGCTGTACAGTATATAGGTGGAAAAAGTTCTGAAGTGATTTAATGGGTTATGCAGCGGGATCATGATAGGACAGTCGGGGGCATTATGACTATACAGAGGGATCGAGATGACATGGCTGATAAGGGAGTTGATGCAGCGGGATCAGGATAGGATGTGGGGGGGGGGGATTATACAGAGGGATCGAGATCACAGGGCTGATAATGGAGTTGATGCAGCAGGATCAGGATAGGATGTGGGGGGGGGGGGGATTATACAGCAGGGATCAGAGATCACAGGGCAGATAATGGGGTTGATGCAGCAGGATTATATACAGAGGATCGAGATGACATGGCTGATAATCGGGTTGATGCAGCAGGACCAAGTTAGGATGGTGGGAGGGGTAATGATTCAGAGGGATTGAAGTGAATGGATCAGGATGACACAACAGCTGATAGGTAATTGATGGAGAAAGACCATGAAAATACAGCTGGTGATGGGGGAAAGATGCAGAGGGATGAGGATAAGACGGTGGGAGGGGGTGGTGGTGGTAATGCTGCAGGATGAGGATGACATGGAAGGGGATGAAGGATGTGGATGATATGGTGGAGGGTTTGGTGATATTATGGGGGGGTTCAGGAGTGAATGGTAGGTGATGGGGGAGCAGTGTGGTGGGATGAGGATGACACAGCTGATGATGTGTGGAGGAAAGGATGGGAGGGCGGTATAGATGAGGGCTCTCCGGTGCTGGAAGAGGGGGGGGGGCGGTATAGATGAGACTCTCCGGTGATGGGTGGGGGGCAGTATAGATGGGGCTCTCCGGTGCTGGAAGAGGGAGGGGGGGCGGTATAGATGCGGCTCTCCGGTGATGAGAGGGTGGGGGGCGGTATAGATGCGGCTCTCCGGTGATGAGAGGGTGGGGGGCGGTATAGATGCGGCTCTCCGGTGAGCGGCTTCCTGTTGGTGATCCGTAGACAGGAAGTGATGCTTCTCCGGCGGTGATCGGGGTCGGGATGCCGGTGTCGGGCGGTGATCGGAGTGGAGGCGGGCCGGTGAGTGGATACAATGTAACATTTGTCCGTCCGGTGGGGGAGGGGCGCTGCGCTTTGTAGTCCCTCTCCCGGAGTTCTGCCCTCTAATTGGCTGCCCTGGGTGTCGGGGGTTCCCCGGTGTTGGGATCGTCTCTCCTCATTGATGGATACAATCCATTCCTCATCCGATATAATACTCAGCAATGCCACCATACACTATAGACCGACATACAATCAGAACCGATCGATCGGTAGTCTGGCCCCTCCTCCATGGCGATCCTCTTTACGTTGGCCATACACCCTTCAATTTTGTTACCCAATCGATGTGTCGTTCGATTAAAATGACCACACCGGAAACCGATCGAATAGCCAAAACTTCCCTTCCAATCCATAGATCCGATTCCATCAAACGTGTGTGTGCGACTTCATGCGCGGAGGTCAGGAAAGTCGCCCCCGAACTTGCATGAAGTGCGACTTTAACAGTGCGACTCTGCCGGCGTGGGAATCGCGCCAATATCATTGTGGACAATAGGGCGCGCCTGGTCACGCGATTTAAAAAACGCATAAAAAGTTGCACCGGTGTGACCGGGGACTCGAGGCTGCATTCACACTTGTGCTTTTCCTAAGCACGCAAAAAATGTGCGTTTTGCCGCAAGTTTCAGAAACGCGCTGCGACCGCGGGTCACACAAGCAATGCCATGATTTGTTAAAGGCTCCCCAAGTACGGGTAGCAGACGCATGTTTTGCCGCGCTATAAATGCCCACTAAGAAGACGCCCAACCGAAAGGGTTCTGCAGCTGCTTTGGGGCGTTTGGCACGTCTAGGGCAGCCCCAGGCGCAATGGCGTTAACGTGTGAAGAAAGCACCAAATCAAAAAAAAACACCTAAAGCGGAAACGCGCGTTTCAGGTGTGAATCAGTGCCGCAATGGCAGCTGGCAGTTTGCACTGTGGCCGGTTCACTGTACAGCCAGCCAGGCGTGTCGTGGCAGTAATCCGGTGTCAACGGATTGATTGTCCGCAGGAACGTCTCGGTGGTAATCGGCTGTTGGCGGATTGTTTGTCTGCAGGCGTGTCTTGGTGGTAATCTGGTGTCGGCGGATCGATTTTCCACAGGCGCGTCGTGGTGGTAATCTGGTGTTCCGGTGGATCAATTGTCCGCAGGCGTGTTGTGGTGGTAATCTGGTGTCAGCAGATCGTTTGTCCGCAGACGCGTCGTGGTGGTAATCTGGTGTCAGCAGATCGATTGTCCGCAGGTGCTTCGGGGTAGTAATCCGGTGTCAGCAGATCGATTGTCCGCAGGTGCTTCGGGGTAGTAATCCGGTGTCAGCAGATCGATTGTCCGCAGGCGCGTCGTGGTGGTAATCTGGTGTCAGCAGATCGATTGTCCACAGGCGCGTCTGATGGTAATCCGGTGTCAGTGGATCGATTGTCCGCAGGTGCGTCTGATGGTAATCTGGTGTTGGTGGATCGTTTGTCCACAGGCGCGTCGCAGTGGTAATCCGGTGCTGGTGGATCGTTTGTCCGCAGGTGTGTCGCAGTGGTAATCCGGTGTTCCGATGGATCGATTGTCCGCAGGTGTGTCGCAGTGGTAATCCGGTGTTCCGATGGATCGATTGTCCGCAGGTGCGTCGCGGTGGTAATCCGGTGTTTTGATGGATCGATTGTCCGCAGGCGCGTCGCGGTGGTAATCTGGTGTCTGCTGATCATTTGTCCGCAGGCGCGTTACGATGGTAATCTGGTGTTGGTGGATCGTTTTGTCCACAGGCGCGTCGCAGTGGTAATCCGGTGCTGGTGGATCGTTTGTCCGCAGGTGTGTCGCAGTGGTAATCCGGTGTTCCGATGGATCGATTGTCCGCAGGTGTGTCACAGTGGTAATCCGGTGTTCCGATGGATCGATTGTCCGCAGGTGCGTCGCGGTGGTAATCCGGTGTTTTGATGGATCGATTGTCCGCAGGCGCGTCGCGGTGGTAATCTGGTGTCTGCTGATCATTTGTCCGCAGGCGCGTCACGATGGTAATCTGGTGTTGGCGGATCATTGGTCCGCAGGCGCGTCGCGGTGGTAATCTGGTGTCAGCGGATCATTTGTCTGCAGGCGCGTCGTGGTTGTAATCCGGTGTCAGCGGATCGATTGTCCGTAGGCGCGTCGTGGTGGTAATCCGGTGTCAGCGGATCGATTGTCTGCAGGCGCGCCGTGGTGGTAATCTGGTGTCAGCGGATCATTTTTCCGTAGGTGCGTCGTGGTGGTAATCCGGTGTCAGCGGATCGATTGTCCGCAGGCGCGTCGCGGGTGGTAATCCGGTGTCGGTGGATCGATTGTCCGCAGGCGCATTGCGGTGGTAATCCAGTGTTCCGGTGGATCGATTGTCCGCAGGCGCATTGCGGTGGTAATCCAGTGTTCCGGTGGATCGATTGTCCGCAGGTGCGTCGCGGTGGTAATCCGGTGTCGGTGGATCGATTGTCCGCAGGTGCCAAGGCGTGGAGATCACGTTCTGCTACTCTGAATTCCGACATGAATTATAGATTGTGGCCGTTCCAGACGATTGTGCAGCGCGGTGTCGGGCTGCAGGGAGCCGGCGATCTTCTGCTCGGCTCTGATTCCAGGAAATCTCCATCTGCCTTCCAGCACAGAGCCACCCGGAAGACCCCGCCTTCCAGAAGGAGGCGTGTCCTGGCCGAAAATGTGAGCTGCCTGGCTGCCTCTGGTCTGTGTGGTACCCTCCTGAGGTTAAAGCCGGCCATACATGGGTCGAAATTCGACCAATTTTTCATCCGAAAATTGGACCTAAGAATAATCGGACGATATTCGCTCTGTTAGTGAGTCAATGGCACCGGACGATTTTCGTGGTTCCTCCCCTTTTTTGGTGATCAGACATGTTGGAAAATTTGTGAAAAACGACCGATTTTTGACTCAATGATGGTCAAATCATACGATCGTTTTTCCAAAAAGAATACACGCCTGAGCCGTGACCTGGAAGGAACAGAAGATCCGCCTGTTATACAGGGTGAACTTTATGACTCGGTCGGCCGACTTTCTAAATCATTGATGGCACCATCGGATTACCGAGCGAACGACATTTCTGATTTTTTCAGAGGAAAAATCGTTCAGAATTCGAACCATGTATGGCCTGCATTAGGCTCGGTTCACACTGCCTGTGATTTGGGATACAATTGTGAAATCCTCTCGGTTCACACTACTGCGACCTGCAGTGCGACTTTGCCAGGCAACTTGAGTACGACTTTGATGCAACTTTCAAGCGACTTTCAGGGAATGCTGGGTAATCTTCCTGTAATGTCGGATCCAAATCACATGAATATAGATGAGGATCTGACTTGTAGGCGACTTCCAGTAAAGTCTATGGGCCCGTGTCGGATAGAAGTCGCCTTGAAGTAGCACAGGAGCCTTTTCTACAGTCGGAGCGACTTCAGAAGTGCTAATTAAGATGCCTCTCATTGACTAACATGGGATTTCACATGTCATGCGACTTGGGGGGTGTCACAAGTCGGATCCGAGGTCACAGCTGTGAACTGAGCCTAACATGGGGTTTCCTATGTCATGCGACTTGGGGGGTGTCACAAGTCACGGCTGTGAACTGAGCCTAGTCAATGAGAGGCGTCTTAATTAGCACTACTGAAGTCGCTCCGACTTTGGAAAAGATTCCTGTGCTACTTCAAAGCGACTTCTGTCCGATTTGGAGGCGACTTCCATTAAAGTCTATGGGCGCAAGTCAGACAGAAGTCGTCTTGAAGTAGCACAGGAACCTTTTCCAAAGTTAGAGCGACTTCAGTAGTTCTAATTCGATGATGAGTCACCGGTCACAACGCTGCGATTTAAAGTCGTGCGATTTCTGAAGACTTTATTGCTACTTGTGAAGACATTCAAGGATTTCCTACAGTTTGCAGTGCAATTTTCATTGTATTCTATGGCTGTGAAATCGAAATCGCAACAAAACAAAACAAAAACGCAGCGGGTGACTTTGGAAAAGACTCCTGTGCAATTTCTGTCTGGCTTGGGGGCGACTTCCATTAAAGTCTATGGGCACAAGTCGGGACAGAAGTCGCCTTGAAATAGCACAGGAACCCTTTTTTTTCAAAGTCGGAGCGACTTCAGTAGTTCTAATTCGATGAATAGACAAAGTCACCGGTCACACCGCTGCCATTTAAAATTGTGCGATTTGTGTGGAATTTCAGGCAATTTCTGAAGACTTTATTGTTACTTGTGAAGATATTCAAGGATTTCTTGCAGTTTGCGGTGCAATTTACCATGTTATTCTATGTCTGTGAAATTGAAATCGCAACAAAACTGCAGAAAAAGTCATGCAAGAACTACCGTATTTTCCGGCGTATAAGACGACCTCCTACGTTTCCTGTTTAAAATGTAGTGTTTGGGCTGTACTCGCCGTATAAGACTACCCCTCTTCCAGTGCACACCAGTGGGAAGAATCGTGCCCATCATTGGTGTCAGTGGGAGGAATAGTGCCCCATCATTGGTGTCAGTGGGAGGAATAGTGCCCCATCATTGGTGTCAGTGGGAGGAATAGTGCCCCATCATTGGTGTCAGTGGGAGGAATAGTGCCCCATCATTGGTGTCAGTGGAAGGAATAGTGCCCCATCATTGGTGTCAGTGGGAGGAATAGTGCCCCATCATTGGTATCAGTGGGAGGAATAGTGCCCCATCATTGGTGTCAGTGGGAGGAATAGTGCCCCATCATTGGTGTCAGTGGGAGGAATAGTGCCCCATCATTGGTATTAGTGGGAGGAATAGTGCCCCATAATTGGTGTCAGTGGGAGGAATAGTGCCCCATCATTGGTGTCAGTGGGAGGAATAGTGCCCCATCATTGGTGTCAGTGGGAGGAATAGTGCCCCATCATTGGTGTCAGTGGGAGGAATAGTGCCCCATCATTGGTGTCAGTGGGAGGAATAGTGCCCATCATTGGTGTCAGTGGGAGGAATAGTGCCCCATCATTGGTGTCAGTGGGGGGAATAGTGCCCCATCATTGGTATCAGTGGGAGGAATAGTGCCCCATCATTGGTGTCAGTGGAAGGAATAGTGCCCCATCATTTGTATTAGTGGGAGGAATAGTGCCCATCATTGGTGTCAGTGGGAGGAATAGTGCCCCATCATTGGTATCAGTGGGAGGAATAGTGCCCCATCATTGGTGTCAGTGGGAGGAATAGTGCCCCATCATTGGTATTCAGTGGGAGGAATAGTGCCCCATAATTGGTGTCAGTGGGAGGAATAGTACACCATCATTGGTGTCAGTGGGAGGAATATAGTACCCCATCATTGGTGTCAGTGGGGGGGAATAGTGCCCCATCATTGGTATCAGTGGGGGTGGAATAGTGCCCCATCATTGGTGTCAGTGGGAGGAATAGTGCCCCATCATTGGTGTCAGTGGGGAGGAATAGTGCCCCATCATTGGTGTCAGTGGGGGGAGGAATAGTGCCCCATCATTGGTGTCAGTGGGAGGAGGCATCCCCCATCATTAGTATCAGTGGCAGGAATAGCCCCATCCCATCATTTGTGTCAGTGGGGGAATAGTGCCCCATCATTGCTGTCAGTGGAATAGTGCCCCATCTTTGGTGTCAGTGGCAAGAATAGTGCCCCATCATTGGCACGACGTGCACACTACCTGACATCTCCATCGATTTTCGCGGGGGCCGCCTCCTCGCCGGTGATTGGCCGCCTGTGTGTCAGTGGAATAGTGCCCCATCTTTGGTGTCAGTGGGAGGAATAGTATCCCATCATTGGTGTCAGTCGGGGGGGGAGGAATGGCAGCCCCCCCCCATCGTTGGTGTCAGTGGGGGGGAATAGTATCCCCCATATTGGTGTCAGTGGGGGTGGAATAGTGCCCCATCATTGGTGTCAGTGGGAGGGGAGGAATAGTGCCCAATCGTTGGTGTCAGTTAGGGGAGAGGAATAGTGCCCCATCGTTGGTGTCAGTAGGGGGGAGGAAAAGTGCCCCATCGTTGGTGTCAGTGGGGGGGGGGGAGATGCATCGTGCCCCATCGTTGGTGTCAGTGGGAGGAATAATGCCCCATCATTGGTATCAGTAACACCAACGATGGGGCACTATTCCTCCCACTGACACTTCAAAAAAGCTGACCCCTGTTCCAGTACGGTGCTGCTGAAGCCAGCATATGTGGTTGCAGCAGCACCTAAGCACGGCACACTTACCTGCATCTCCACTCGATTTTCGCGGGGCCGCCTCCTCGCCGGTGATTTGGCCGCACTGATCGCCGGTGATTGGCCGCCTGTGTGCCTTTCCTGAGCTACAGTTCTGGCGGCCAATCACTGGTGAGGAGGCGAAGCCGAGCAGCCGCGCGAACATCCAGTGGACTAACCGAAGGAAGGAGCAGCCGCGCTTCCTGGACCGGATCGTCGTGGGACCGGAGCCAGGTAAGAGACAGCAGCCCCTGCCCACCCCTGTACTTAGTTCCCTTTTCTGTTGGAAGGGCGCGGTGCAAAACACTGCCCGCCCCGCCCCCCTAAAAAGTGTCAGCATGCCGTTACCGGCGTACTTTCAGACGACCCCCATTGACTTTTGAGAAGATTTTCAAGGGGTAAAAAGTCGTCTTATACGCCGGAAAATACGGTACTTTAGAAATCGACCTGCAGCAAATCGCACAGGTTAACCCTAGGGTCACACCTATGCAGGTTGCGTTTCTGCATTGCGTTTTATGTTGTGTTTTGCGCTTTTGATGAATTTTGCTGGTTTTTGTTTGTTTTTTTTTTTTTTGTTGCTAGGCAGATTTTAAATGCAAAACGCGGCAAAAAACGCAACACATGCTTCTCTGCAGCGTTCCCATGGAACTTTATAGAACCAAAAACGCAATGTTTTGCGTTCAAAAAAAGTCCCTGACCCTTTCCAAAAAACGCACCGGGTGACTTTAGAAAAGGTTCCTGTGCGAATGTACTTCAAGGTTCGGCAACTTCTGTCCGGCTTGTACCCATAGACTTTAATTTAAATTTAAAATCGTGCAATTTCAGCAATTTCAGGTGCGATTTTTGAAGACTTTATTGCTACTTGTGAAGATATTCAACGATTCCTTGCAACTTGCGGTGAGATTTCCATTGTATTCTATGTCTGTGAAATTGAAATCGCAACAAAACTGCAGAAAAAATCATGCAAGAACTACTTTAGAAATCGACCTGCAGCAAATTGCACAGGTTAACCCTAAGGTCACACCTATGCAGGTTGCGTTTAGTGCGTTTCTGCATTACGTTTTATGTTGTGTTTTGCGCTTTTGATGCATTTTGCATTTTTTTTTTCTTTTTATTCATTTTTCTTGTTGCTAGGCAGATTTCAAATGAAAAAAGACGCACACTGCAAAACACCGTGCAAAAACGCACCCCATGCTTTTCTGCAGCGTCCACATTGAATATATTCAACAATTTTTTTGCTACTTTCAGAGCGATTTCCATTGTATTCTATGTCTGTGAAATTGGAAATCGCCACAAAACTGCAGAAAAAGTCATGCAAGAACTACTTTAGAAATCGACCTGCAGCAAATCGCACAGGTTAACCCTAGGCCGTCACACCTGTGCAGGCTGTGCTTAGTGTGTTTTCTGCATTGCCCAAGCATTTTGTGTTGCGTTTTGCGTTTTTGATGAGTTTTTTTTTTCTTGTTGCTAGGCAGATTTTAAATGAAAAATGCAAAATGCAGCAAAAAAATCGCAACATATGCTTTTCTTCAGCGTTCCCAATGGAAGTCTATAGAACCAAAAATGCAACGTTTCGCGTTCAAAAAAAAAGTCCCCGACCCTTTCCAGAAAACGCACTGAATTGTCTGAATTGTCCCTAGTATGTATGTATGAATGTGAGTTAGGGACCTTAGACTGTACGCTCCTCAAGGGCGGGACTGAATGTGAATGTAAAAACTATCATATAATAATTTTGGATATGTGCTGCATAAATTGATGGCGCTATATAAGTACCTGAAATAATAATAATAAAATTTTAAAAACTGTGCATTTCGGTGAAGTGCATCCTGAATTTTCGCTTTCAGTCCAGAATTTTCATATCTATCTTGGACTTTGTATATCTGTCTTTCTACTTGCTGCTTTCTCATTATAGTTTAAATAAATTGTTTTATACCTGTGTCATTTTTCACACGGATTTATTTATTTATTTTTTTTTTTTTAATATTTTTTCCAAAAACAATTTTATTGAGTTTTTATTTTATTATAATTTTTAATGTTTTAATTTTGTTTTCCAAAAACAATTTTATTGAGTTTTTATTTTATTATTACAATTTTTTATTTTTTTTGTTTGTTTATAGCACGAATGTGTATCATTGTACATGGATAGGTGTGCAAGGGTCTAACAATTAAAGGGAGATGTACTGTGTAATAATAAAGACACAGTGAAGTCTATGTATAAAAAAAAAAAAATTTGATGTGCGAATGTCTCAAACGTTCCCCGAGTCATCTCCAATAATCCTCATAAGTCTTCTAATATTTCCTATAATGGTCAGCTCCATCTAGTGGCCATAATGCAGAATTTTCCTGAAATACCTGAAAAAGGAAACACTGCATCATGGCCACTAGATGGAGCTAAGGATCATAGGAAATAAATATATCATACACAGCACAGTGATTGTTCATTATTGAAGTCTGTGCTTGAGAATTTTTTTTTATAAATAAACCCCCCCAAAGAATCAGTAGGTGTGATGTGGCTACAATAAATTTTTTCTATGAACTAAAAATTATAAAATATTTATTTAAATGTAATAATTTTTACTCCTTTTGCAGGATCCAGGGTCCCCTCCATCCCACGCTGTGGTGTGTCCAGCCCGTTTAGAGGGACATATGAGTACCAAAAGCAATGGTAAGCGCACTCTGTGAGTGGAATGTAACCTTCTCGCTGTCCGCAGACTTCATGGGGCGGGGGGATGCGCAGTCCCATTTGTCCTGGCGGAGGGATCCTTTCTGAACTGGCTTTCTTTTTTTTTTTTTGCAATGTTATTTTTATGATTTATGTTTTTTCTAACTAAACTTATAAATAAATTATATAAAAATAAATAAAACAATTTTTTATATATATATATATATATATATATATATATATATATATATAAATTGTTTTATTTATTTATAAGTTTAGTTAGAAAAAAAATAATTCATATTTATATAAATATATTATTATTTTTATTTATTTATATATTGCTCAGCATAAATGAGTAAACCCCAATGGATTTCAGAATCCACATTTTCTATGGGACACTATACTACAAAATCCTCCCACAAATGCCGGCCATTGATTGCAAACAAGATTTGGTAATTTGCACACACAAAAAAGTATTTTTCCTAACAAATTAATTCAAGACCATGTTGCAAAAATGAACACACCCCACTGAAAGTCTTGGGAGTAAAGCTAAATTTTAGACAAAATCCTAATTAACAAGAAATCCGCTACAGGAGAGTGTAATTATTCATTAAACAGGTGTCAAGCAGACAGGTGATTATAAAAGGGTGTGACTTAACAAAGAAAAACCCTCCCATTTCATGATGTCCGCAATGGCACCACATGGAAGAGAAATGTCACAGGCCTGAGAAAGAGAAAATAATTTCTTTACACAAGGAAGGTGAAGGCTACAAGAAGATCAGCAAAGCTTTACTTATCAGTCAGAATACTGGAGCAAAAGTGATACAAAAATTTACTAAAGATTGAACTGCAACCATTTCACAGAGACGTCCAGGCCGTCCACGGAAGTTAACAGCTCGACAGGAGCGTCTTCTGTTGAGACGTGTTGAAGAAAATGGCCATGCAAGTTCACTGCAGTTAGCTAAAGAAGTAAAAAAACAAACTGGGGGTGATTGTGTCCCGTGACACAATATGGCGTACACTGCAGAGGAATGGCATTCATGGGTGTCCTTCATGAAGGAAGCCTCTCCTAAAGCCCATGCCCAAAAAATCCCACCTAGAACTTGCCAGGGCCCATGCTGAAAAAGAAGACTCCTGGGACTCTGTACTCTGGAGTGATGAGACCAAGATAAATGTTTTTGGAACCAATGGCTTCAAAATTGTATGGCGTCACAAATGTGAGGAGTACAAAGAAAAATGCATGGTGCCTACAGTGAAACATGGTGGTGGAAGTTTCCTGTGGGGTTGCATGAGTGCCGCTGGTGTCGGGGAGCTGCATTTCATTGATGGAGTTATGAATTCACAGATGTACTGCTCTATATTGAAAGAGAAGATGCTACCATCACTCCGTGCCCTCGGTCGTCGTGCACTTTTCCAACATGACAATGAGCCAAAACTCACATCTAAGGCCACTATTGCATTTCTGAAGAAGAACAGGGTGAAAGTGATTCAGTGGCCAAGTATGTCTCCTGATCTGAACCCAACCGATCACCTATGGAGAATTCTGAAGAGACAAGTTGATCATCGCTCTCCATCCAGCATCCAGGCTCTAAAAGATGTCGTTCTTGAAGAATGGAAAAAGATCGATGTTGCAATATGTCACCAACTTGTTCTTTCCATGCCTAGAAGACTTGGTGCCGTCCTTACATATCATGGAGGTCATACAGAATACTAGATGGAGGAGTTCTTGTTGTCGGGTGGATTCATTTTTGCATCAACTAATTGGAGTAAAACTGAAGATTTTGTCATCTAAGTTATATTATGAACCTTCCTTCCATGTAATGAGCCGAACAAATGTTCTATAAAAGTCCAGTTTTGTCCAAATTCTGAAAATTGTTACTTTTTCAAAAAGGGGTGTACTCATTTATGCTGAGCACTCTATATATATACAGTTAGGTCCATATATATTTGGACACAGGCACAATTTTAGTTTTTTTCAGGTATTTACCAAAACATATTCAGGATATAGTTCTATAATGAGTATTGTCAGCGATCCAGGTATGACCAGAAATGTGTGGACTGACACAGGGAAGTAGCAGGCTTCAGGAACACAGGCGTAGTCAGGGCTGGAGAGGTGAAATGGTCAGGCAGGCCGTAAGGTACTGTCAGGTGCCACCTGGCAGTGTCTCTAGCAGCCCACAGCATGGATTTCCTCAGGGTGCGGGGTCTAAGTCCCAGCCTGCTATTCACCAGGGCCCCTGATGGTGGGGATGGACTTGGTGCAGACTGGAACCAGGTCGCCACCCCTGAGTGCGTCCGGCTGTGGTAGAGAATACTGGCAGGGGAGTGCAGGAACGGAGTCTGATGGGAAGAGGCAGGCAGACTTAGTAAAAGTGATCCGTGCGGGATGGATGGATCGTCGGGTGAAGTAAGCGTAGTCAGATAGGCCGGGTCGGTATCATGTGGGCAGCGTGGTACAGGAGGAGCAAGCAGAGAATGGTCGGGGTCACAAGCCAGGTTCAGCAGGTAGCGGGCAGCGCGGTACCAAGGATCAGGCAGAAGGATGGTCAGGCAAGCCAGGGGTTCAACAGGAGATGGTCAGCAGAGGTCAGGATCAGGCAGGGTCGGCAACAAATCAGATCGTCAGCAGAACAGGAACACAGGATACCAGGTACAGGGGCTCATGGGAAACAATACACCAAGGCCCTGATCACAGGCCTGGTCCTGCTTAAATACACTTCCTTCAATCAGCCCCAGGTGTTGGCTGACTGCCAGAGTCAGTTTCTGGCTGCTGAGAGCACCCGCTGGCCAGTCCTGGTACTGCAACCCACACGGCAGGTGAGTCCCACCACTATTGGCGAGTCTATTCCTGACAGATATGGGTGGACAGTGCACACTCTCAGGTTTAGTTTGAGGGTATGTACATCCAAATTGGAGGGGGGTTTAGGAATTACAGCTCTTAAGAGTAGCCATCCCCCCTTTTTCAAGGGACCAAAAAGTAATTGGACAATTGAATCAAAAGCTGTTTCATGGCCAGGTGTGGGCTACTCCTTTGTTATTTCTTCATCAATTAAGCAGGTAAAAGGTCTGGAGGTGATTCTAAGTGTAGTAATTGCATTTGGAATCTATTGCTGTGAACTTTCATCATGCGTTCGAAGGAGCTGTCCATGCAAGTGAAACATTTCATTGTAAGGCTTCAAAAATGAATCAAATCCATCAGAGAGATCGCAGCAACATGAAAAAAACAAAAAAAACCTAAAATTGTTCCTGTGTCCAAATATATATGGATCTAACTGTATGTATGTGTGTATATGTATACATATGTGTGTGTGTGTGTGTGTGTGTATATATGCATGTGTGTGTATATATATGTGTGTGTGTGTGTGTGTGTGTGTGTGTGTGTGTGTGTGTGTGTGTGTATGTATATATGTGTGTGTGTGTGTGTGTGTGTGTGTGTGTATATATATATATATGTATATGTGTGTGTGTGTGTGTATATATATATATATATATATGGTGTGTGTGTGTGTATATATATACAGTCATGGCCGAAATTGTTGGCACCCTTGATATTTTTCCTGAAAATCAAGTATTTCACACAAAAAAGGTATTGCATTAACACATGTTTTGCTATACACATGTTTATTCCCTTTGTATGTATTGGAACAAATATAAAACAGAGGCAGAAAAAGCAAATATGACATAATGTCACACAAAACCCCAAAAATGGGCTGGACAAAAGTATTGGCACCCTTAACTTAATATTTGGTTGCACACCCTTTGGAAAACATAACTGAAATCAGTCGCTTCCTATAACCATCAATAAGCTTCTGACACCTCTCACCCGGAATTTTGGACCACTCTTCCTTTGCAAACAGCTCCAGGTCTCTCTTATTGGAAGGACACCTTTTCCCAACAGCAATTTTAAGATCTCTCCACAGGTGTTCAATGGGATTTAGATCTGGGCTCATTGCTGGCCACTTCAGAACTCTCCAGCGCTTCTTTGCCATCCCATTTCTGAGTGCTTTTTGACGTATGTTTGGGGGTCATTGTCCTGCTGGAAGACCCAGGATCTTGGACGCAAACCCAGCTTTCTGACACTGGGCCCTACAGTGCGACCCAAAATCCTTTGGTAATCCTCAGATTTCATGATGCCTTGCACACAGTCAAGGCACCCAGTGCCAGAGGCAGCAAAACAACCCCAAAACATCATTGAACCTCCACCATATTTTACCGTAGGTACTGTGTTTTGTTCTTTGTAGGCCTCATTCCGTTTTCGGTAAACAGTAGAATGATGTGCTTTACCGAAAAGCTCTATCTTGGTCTCATCTGTCCACAAGACGTTTTCCCAGAAGGCTTTTGGCTTACTCAAGTACATTTTGGCAAACTGTAGTCTTGCTTTTTTATGTCTCTGTGTCAGCAGTGGGGTCCTCCTGGGTCTCCTGCCATAGCGTTTCATTTCATTTAAATGTCGACGGATAGTTCGCGCTGACACTGATGCTCCCTGAGCCTGCACAGGACAGCTTGAATGTCTTTGGAACATGTTTGGGGCTGCTTATCCACCATCCGGACTATTCTGCGTTGCAATCTTTCATCAATTTTCCTCATCCGTCCACGACCAGGGAGATTAGCTACAGTGCCATGGGTTGCAAACTTCTTGATAATGTTGCGCACTGTGGACAAAGGCAAATCTAGTTCTCTGGAGATGGACTTGTAACCTTGAGATTGTTGATATTTTGGCCACAATTTTGGTTCTCAGGTCCTCAGACAGTTCTCGTCTCCTCTTTCTGTTGTCCATGCTTAGTGTGGCACAGACAGACACACAATGCAAAGGTTAAGTGAACGTCTCTCCTTTTTATCTGCTTTCAGGTGTGATTTCTATATTGCCCACACCTGTTACTTGCCCCAGGTGAGTTTACTGAGCATCACATGCTTGTAACATTCTTATTTATCCGCAGTTGTGAAAGGGTGCCAATACTTTTGTCCAGCCCATTTTTGGAGGTTTGTGTGACATTATGTCGAATTTGCTTTCTTTCCTCCCTTTTTTGTTTTTGTCCCAATACACACAAAGGGAATAAACATGTGTATAGCAAAACATGTGTTAATGCAATACGTTTCGTGAGAAATACATGATTTCCTGGAGAAATATCAAGGGTGCCAACAATTTCGGCCTATGACTGTATATATTAGATGACGTTCATATATATATATGTTGTGTGCCCAATTCATGTAAAATATGTATGTATATATGTGTGTGTGTGTATACTGTGTATATATATATATATATATATATATGTATGTGTGTGTGTATATATTAGATATAGAATTTTCCCTTCCATTGGAGTGATTGTCCCATTAAATTCCATCCTGGCTGCATATTACCAGGATTTAGCTATGTAAGTTCTAATACTTTACTTCTTGACCAATGACATTGTTGTCACCAAGACAGGAAATTGAGGGAAATATCTGTAATGGATGCTGATATTTCACAAAACAAATGATGGCTCTGTGAACTCCACTGACCTGTCGGCGATATTCCTCAGCTCACACAATGGCTGCCTTCTCTGTATACATGACAGGTGCTCCCTGTGTATTGGTTCTGTGGTTGCCGGTTGTATTAATCTGTTTCTTGTCTCCTCCAGCCTTCTGCATCGGCCCCAGCAGCCGGCTCAGTGACCAGTACCGGATCCGGGACCACATGCTCGCCCACTACAACAAGATCCTTACTGCGAAAGGTATGGACCCTCCAATCTGATTGGAGACATGCCAGGCGATGGGGGAAGGGTCAGGGGTGTCGGTGTGTTGTCTGTGTGTTACACTACAGAGGATGATGATGACAGGAGTGAGGATCTCCGAGTCGGCTTCTCTCAGATCTGGAGCTCTCTCTCCTTCATCTTCTATGGAGTCACTGAAGATTCTCAGATCTGTTTCCTGACCGGAATGGCGGCTTTATAGTCGAGGGAGAGTTCAGTATGTGCTGTGCAAAGGATGAGGTCAGACGAGAACTGTGGAGGAACACTTCTGTCCTGTGCCGTCACCCCTCCCCTGTGCCGTCACCCTCCCCTGTGCCGTCACCCCTCCCCTGTGCCGTCACCCCTCCCCTGTGCCGTCACCCCTCCCCTGTGCCGTCACCCCCTCCCCTGTGCCGTCACCCCTCCCTGTGCCGTCACCCCTCCCCTGTGCCGTCACCCCCTCCCCCTGTGCCGTCACCCCTCTCCTGTGCCGTCACCCCTCTCATGTTGCAATCTGATTGTACAATCTCCTACTGAGCACAAGGACCTCCTAATTATTTAGAAATAGAGTGGTTTGTCTGAGACAGCCTTCCCCTATCTACGATTGGTAAACATCACGAGGAAGGTTCAACCAGATTGTAATGTGTGTGGCCAACATAACATTGACCGGCCGGAGTGTCTGCCGGTCATTTAGGATAACTGTGAGGAAACAGCAGCTACTGTCAGTTGAGGACTTATTGAGCCCCGTGCATGGAGGGCACCTGGGGGCCAGTCATAAAGTGTATGTGAACCCTAACAGCGATTCTTTTGGTCTTTTAAATATATCACTGAAAGTCTTATTTCTGTGCAAAAGAAAAAATACCTGTTGATCCTGCCAGAGATCCAGTGAGCCGACACTTCCTGTGCCGCACTCTTATAAGTTACATTGCTACCAGTTCTCCTTTGTGAACTACAGAACACCTCCCCCTCTCCTCTTCGGCATAACATGGGGGGGTGTTCTTTAGTTCACAGAGGAGAACTGGTAACAATGTAACTTATAAGAGTGCGGCGCAGGCAGGGAACACGGGAAGGTTCCGTTTACTGGATTTCTATAGACTTGTCCTAGGGTGGCAATGCTGGGACTCCAAAGAAAAATCCGTGACCCCCATCATGTGATTGTTAAACTGTACCATGAGACTCCCTGCTGTGGGGTCACTGGCCATGGAAGGTTTGTATTAGACAAACCCAATGCAAAAAAAATATGGTGCATGCTGGGACTTGTAGTCCCTCAGCAGCAGGATATGTATTGGCTGCTTATCCCTGATCTGTTCAGTAACCATCTATATGTTTCTGTAGTCGTATTTGTCTTGGTGTGCATTTGGTTTCAATGATACTGTGTACCTGTGATTGGCGCTCCGGTAAACACAGTGGCGTTGTTGCGGTTAAAGAATGTCTGTGTGTTTACAGGCGGAGCGCTGGCAGGCCGTGTGCATTCCTCGGGAAAAGGCATTATCATCCTCATCCTGCCTTGTTCCCCCTCGGGCAGTACTGATCAGTATCAAATGGCACAGCACAGTCCTGCTTTTCAGGTTCTTCCCTACTGGTGGTGGTCACCACGCCACAGCGCTCCTATTACAGAGACTGACAGGGAGAAATGTGAGTCTTCTTAAAGACGAAGTATTTCTTGTTGCCCTTCCATCACCAATCCCAGACATAAGGGTTTATTCTGCATCTTAGGATATACAGCGATTCCTTTATGCCCCTGTCCATCCAGAGCCTCTGGTGTATAGACCACGATGGACAGTTGGATAAATGGTTCTATATATAGGATGTATCCGGTCTGTAAACCAGAGGTTCTAAAAATAGAGCCATTAATCCAACTGTACATCCAGAGCCTCTCATTTATATGCCAGATACAGCCTAAATATAGAACCATTTATCCAACTGTACATCCAGAGCCTCTGGTATATAGACCGGATACATCCTATATATATGTGTGTGTGTATGTATGTATGTATGTGTGTGTATATATATATATATATATATATATATGTATATATAACCATTTATCCAACTGTACATCATGGTCTATAAACCAGAGGCTCTGGATGTACAGTTGGATAAATGGTTCTATATTTAGGATGTATCCGGTCTATAAACCAGAGGCTCTAAAAATAGAGCCATTAATCCAACTGTACATCCAGAGCCTCTCATTTATCTGCCAGATATATCCTAAATATAGAACCATTTAGAGCCATTTATCCAACTGTCCATCCAGAGCCTCTGGTGTATAGACCATGATGTGCAGTTGGATAAATGGTTCTATATTAGGATGTATCTGGTCTATAAACCAGAGGTTCTAATAATAGGGCCATTTATCCAACTGAACATCCAGAGCCTCTCATTTATATGCCAGATACAGCCTAAATATAGAACCATGTATCCAACCGTAGATGCAAAGCCTCTGGTTTATAAACTGGATACATCCTAAATATAGAGAGATTTAGAGCCATTTATCCTACTGTACATCATGGTCTATAAACCAGAGGCTCTGGATGGACAGTTGGATAAATGGCTCTATATTTAGGATATATCTGGTCTATAAAGCAGAGGCTCTGGATGGACAGTTGGACAAATGGCTCTATTTTTAGTGTGACCTTTGCAACCTTAGTAGTTCCACTACTGCTCAATATAGAGACATTTATCCAACTGTCCATCCAGAGCCTCTGGTTTATAGTGGTAAGGAAATCAACAACCTCTAGTTTTTAAAAGTGTTTAAAAGTTTATTTAGAAGAGAAGAGTTACAAAGCACCCTGTAAATCATGTGTAATATTAATAATAAATAAGTGAAGAGTTACAAAGTAAAAGCAAGGATTAGAAAGTAGAGAGAATAACGCACCCTGGCATCCTTGGACATGGCGGATGTACCAAAGAGCTGACCTCTTTAATAAATAGGAGGCCTTTTAAACTTCAGTCCTGGACAGTTGCCATATAGGGCGCTCCTAAATATTAACATTTTACATATTAAATCATTAACTCAAGAATTTGCATAAGCAGCACATCATTCATTAAAAAAACATTACTTTCTGCTACCTTGGCACACCTCATCAGCTTCACTAACCTCTAGACTCCCAAATACCTCATTATAGAATATGGAGAAACTGTCTCTATGTACCACAAGAAGGTCATCCAAGGATCCAGAGAACAATTTGTTTCAATAAAATCTACCAAGCGAACCTGTTATAAAGAACCTGACATTAGCATATAAGCACTTAAATACTTTAATTGTCAGTAAAGCGTATAATACATATATTTCCTTATATACAGTACACAGGAACAACCTAAATCCAGAATATTCTGCTAAACTGCCAATCCAGAGCAACCGATTTCTACCATTATTAGAAGACAGAGGTCTTTTTTTCTGTTGTGTAAATTGAATGGCGAAGAACCCACATGGAAGAAAAATATATTTGAAATATATTTTAAAAATATTCTTCCCAAATATATTGCCATATATTTGAAATGCTACAATTTTGGCCGTATTCAATATATTTCTGTCTGTCTGTCTGTCTGTCTGTCTGTCTGTCTATCTATATCTATCTATCTATCTATCTATCTATCTATATCTATAATCTATCTATCTATCTATCTATCTATCTATCTATCTATCTATCTATCTATCTATCTATCTATCTATCTCATTATTACCTATCTCATTATCTATCTATATATATAAATGTATAAATAAATTAATTAACAAATGGAAACAAATCACACATATATATATATATATAAATACTGTATGTTGAAATTTGTTTTTATTACAAAAGTATATGAAAAATATTTTTAAAAATAAAAATTTCAAATATACTGTATGTCTTTAAAAATACAAATCTACATTTTTGGAATGCATTTACAAATATATGTAAAAATATATGTTAAAATGACTTTTTTATATGTTAAAAAAAAATCTGAAGAATATATTTTATATTTTAAAACTAGAAACACACACAATCGAAAACCTCCACACACACAATCCTATCCAAACAATTGATCCAGAGGAAGGCAAAAAACCCAATATAACGTTTGAATTTGCTCTAGCCGGGAAAAAAAAATTCCTTCCTGATGCCTCAAGAGGCAATCGGATATTCCACGTTATTTTTTCTACTACTCCGTAAAGTCAATGACCCAGGAGAGCCCACATGGACAAAAATATGTTCAAAATATATTCTTCCTAGATATATTGACATATATTTGAAATACTACAACTTTGGCCGCACGCACACACACACACACACACGTTTTTTTATATGTTATAAAATATATGAAAAATATTTTTTAAAATATATATTTTTTTTAAATATATTCTTCACATTTTTTTAACATATAAAGTTATGTTAACATATATATTTTTACATATTTTTGTAAATGCATTCCAAAAATGTAGATTAAATTTATTTCAGTATATTTGAAAATGTATTTTTAAAAATATTTTTCATATATTTTGTAATAAAAATGCATTTCAACATAAAGTGTGTGTGTGTGTGTGTGTGTAAATATATTTTGAAATTTATTGAACATGGCCAACATTGTAGCATTTCAGATATATGTCAATATATTTGGGAAGAGTATTTTTAAAATATATTTCATATATATTTTTCTTGATTTTAATACCTCCAGGCTACCTTCGTGACAGTATTTCACATTTGCACAGATACTTCATTAAAGTAAATGGTTTGTAAGAAATCCTTATCTGTCGGAGCGCAGGTTCAGCCGCCACAGGATCCGGCGATATATCTGTCTTCCTGATAGCGGTTTATAGACCCGCTACGCTTCTCTCTCTCTCATATTACACTTTATCTCTTCTCTTTCAGCTGCCGTCGATTGCTCCCCTCCGAAGAGTATGACCAAAAGCATTAAATGTAAGTGAGCTTTTACCCTCTGACTATTCTACGCTTGTCATTTAAAGAGGACCTGTCACATCGGGGCCTGCCATTGGCCGAATCCTGAATATGGTGAATACGGTGTTAGTTCCAGGGCTCCCGGGCTTAGGGATGTGCCAACCCCTAACTGGTAGGCACAGGCAGTAGGCATCATGACAGGTTCTCTTTAAGGGCTCGCTGACACCAGGTGTGGTGTGCAAAATTATGCATTTTCCCGCACCTCACCAGAATGTGCTGCCCTTTTGCAGACACCAATGAGTGGCATTGATTTCCACCTAGCAAATAAACGTGCATTTGTGCCTACCGAAATGCATGACACACAGTACCGGGCACTTTGATGCGGCACAATTTATCAAATTTGCACATTCGTCACAACGCGCGGGCACGCACAAAAACGTGCGCACGCTTGGACTTGGCGTGAACAAGGACTAATAGTCATTTGGTAATATATGACTGGGTATGGATCTCACTTTAATACCCAGATCCTCCCAGAATAGGTATCAAAGCAGGGGCGGACTGACCATTTGGAAACTCGGACACTGCCCCAGGGCCTGGGGTCAGTAGTCCATATATTCGTTGATATATGGACTTGTGTGAATGGACTATATGCGGACGTCCTACATTTGTTATACTTGCTTCTTGCACTGATTAATTTATTGCACTTACATGGTGGTGGATATAATAAGATTATTTAGTTACTGATTGATCTATTTTATTTATTTTCTTTATATTTACACAATTCTTTTGGGTTTTTGGGGTTGCGCTATTATTTGATTTATCACATTTTTTATTATTATTTACAGTGTATTATTAATAGCAGCACCCAACTCTTATGTACATGGTTTGAACACATTGGCGCAATGATGTTAGTCTAATGGTGTCTTTTGAGTGGCTTCTAATAGACACCATTAGAAACTGATCTATAAAAAAAAAAAAAAAGCATGATCCAATTTGCTCCTGCAGGGGAAACAAATTCCTTCCTGATCCCCCGAGAGGCAATCGGATATTTCCTGGATCAGCTTTACCTATAAATGTTATATTCTGTGTATTCAACAAAGAATCCAGGACTTTTTGTAAAGCAATCCACTGAGCTGGCCAGAACCAACTCTTGAGGAAGTCTATTCCATATTTTCACAGTTCTCACTGTGAAGAAACCTTTCCGCTGCACACTATTGAGTTTGATCACTTGCGACAACCAAAAGACTTAAGTTACATAGTTTGGCTGAAAAAAAGACAAAAGTCCATCCAGTTCAGCCGTAGAAAAAAGGAAAAAAAAAAAGTTATAATTAGAGATGAGCGAATCGAACATGGCGAAGTGGAATTCATTTCGAATATCAGGAAAAATTTGATTCGCGCCGAATCCGAAAATTAGCAAACTTCGGATGCACGAATCGAATTTTCCCAAAAATGGCGGCGACATGTGTGTGGCGACAGAGCGGGGATCTCTGGGAAGGCGCGCAGACAAGGCGCGCTGACCCATAATGCATTCATTCATGACATGTGATCGCATTAGCCAATCAGCAGCCAGCCAGCCAGCACTGTGTAATGGTGGAGCTATAAATCGCGGCCATCTTACAATTCTCCATTAGCCTCCGGTCATTCAAGAGAGACAGACCTCTGTGTATTAGGCACAGAGTTAGGTGCCGTCATGGATTGCCGTCATGGATTGGTTGGCTCGGTCGTCTTCCTCTTCCCAGGTCACCTCTGACACCTACAGCCAACGGTCGGTGGGTACGTCAGACACAACCGTTAGTTGGCATGGCCCGGGAGCAAGCCCACTGAAATCACGTGTCCTCTACCTGCCCCTGTCCTTTGGTGTTCCCTCACCAAGCGAAGTATCGCATGCTGTGGGCTCAGCCCCACTGTACAGTGAGGAAGAGCTAACAGAGGGCGGTCAGGAACGGGGGGAGACATCCGCCTCTTCAGCAGCCAGGCGAAGAAGTACTGGCGAGGAGAGTGGCTCGGTAGCCGGTCTAGAGACAGGTCTGTCTCCTGACCCAGACGCAGCCGAGGGGGCTAGTAGTGAGGCGGAGACCCTAATTGATGATGATGAGGCTGATCGCACTTGGCAGCCTCGTCGTCATCAGGCAATTTCTTCCGCATCATCAGGAGAAGAGGGTGCCAGCTTGGCAGCGAGCAAAACAGTCGGTGGGTTGCCCAGGAGGCAGCAGGGTCGCAGCAGTGTCAGTGGAGGCAAACGGCCACGGAGTAGAGCACCAGCTCCACTGCAGCCTGCCAGCACGGCCAGTAGTGGTGCCGGTGTGCACGGAGGAAGTAGCAGTCAGCCAGTGAGGAGTAGCGGGGGCAAAGTTTCCTACTCGGCGGTGTGGCAATTTTTCGTCAAGCCACCCGAGGAAGTAAACGTAGCCGTATGTCAACTATGTGGCCAGAAAGTCAAGCGTGGCCAGGGGGCCCATGTTGGGACTACAGCATTGCGTCAGCATATGCAGCGTCGCCATTCGGTGGCCTGGGAAAACCGTGATAAAGATACGGCGGTTCTGCCTGCCCCAGCCCCCGCTCCATCACCCGCTCCGTTACTTGCTCCGTCACCCGACGTCAATCGCCCTCTATCAGCCAGTCAAGGCTCCAACACCTCTGCTGAGGGGAGTTGTCGCTCGTTGGCATCTTCCGCTCGTTCAGATGCTCCTTCTCCTGCTACTCCTCTTCACGGATTCCGTCAGCAGTCTATCTTGGAATCCGTTTCCAAGAGACAACAGTTTGCGAGCACGCACCCGACGGTGCAGAAGCTGAACGTCCTCCTGTCCAAGTTGCTGGTGCTGCAGTCCCTCCCTTTCCAAGTGGTGGACTCAGCACCTTTCCGAGAAATGATGGCTTGTGCCGAGCCGCGGTGGAGAGTGCCAAGCCGGCATTTCTTCACCAAAAAGGCAGTGCCAGCCCTGCATTCACATGTAGAAGACATGGTGGGCCAGTCTTTGAGCATGTCGGTCTCTGCCAAAGTGCACGGCAGCACCGACGTGTGGAGCTGTAACTACGGTCAGGGACAGTACATGTCATTTACGGCCCACTGGGTGAACGTGGTGCCGGCACAGCCGCACCAGCAACTTGGACAGGTCACGCCGCTTTTGCCTCCACGTTTGCACGTCCTTGGTCCAGCAAAGATGTCCGCCTCTACCACCTCTTCTTCCGCCGTGTCCTCAGCCGCCACCCCCGTGCCAAGTCCCATTACCCGACCGGCATATCACATGTGCAGGGCGCAACGGTGTCACGCTGTGCTGCAGCTGGTATGCCTTGGCGAACGTAGTCACACAGGGGAGGAACTTCTGAGTGTAATGAACAGAGAAATCGACAGATGGCTGTCTCCGCGCAAACTGAAAATCGGAACCATGTTGACCGACAACGGAAAGAACATGGTGTCTGCTCTGCGTCAAGGAAGGTTGTGCCATGCGCCATGCATGGCTCACGTGTTCAATCTGGTTGTCAAGCGGTTCCTAAAATCCACCATCCCACTGCAAGACATCCTTAAAATGTCACGTAAACTTTGCATGCATTTCAGCCATTCCTACACCGCAAAGCACACCCTCCTTGAGCTGCAGCGGCAGAACGGAATTCCACAGCATCGCCTGATCTGCGACGTTGCAACAAGGTGGAATTCAACCCTACATATGTTAGACCGCCTTTACGAACAGCGAAAGGCCATCACCGATTTCCTGATGTTACAAGCGGATAAAGGTACTCCCCTGTGTAACTTAGATGTCAGCCATTGGCAGCTCATGCGTGACACCTGCGCTTGCTCAGGCCCTTTGAGGTGGCCACGCTATTCGTGAGTCGGCAGGACTATGGGATGAACGACGTCATTCCTCTGTTGCACGTCCTGGAACAAATGCTGTTAACAATGGCTGGTCAGGGTGCGGTAGACGTGGCGCACAGATCTCAACGTCACATGACCCCTGTGGGGGCAGGACAGGAAGAAGAGGAGGAGGTAGAGGAGGACATTGGTGCTCAGGAATTATTGAGTGAAATGGGTGGTTTTTCCACTCGGCGGACAGGAGTGGAGGAGCAGGAGCATCTGGTAGAGGAGGAGGAGGAGACAGAGGACCCAGACGCACCGTGGCAGTATGCTGTGGAGATGGAGGCAGGGAGTCCCTCGCATTCCTTGGCACAAATGGCCCATAGCATGCTCGGTTGCTTGCGTAGCGACAGCCGAATAATAACCATCAGACAGAGGGATGACTTTTGGCTGTCCACCTTGTTGGACCCTCGCTACCGTTCAAAAATGGTGGCCTTTTTCACACCTGCTGAGAGGGAGGCCAAAATAACGTACTATAAAAACCACCTATGTAGTCAGTTGGTCTCTGCCTTTCTGCGCCAACGTCCATCCTCAGACACTGTGGGCCCTGTGCGCTCACGTTCCGCTGCCATGGCAGCAGGGGAGGGGTGGGGTGGTAGGAGCAGTGGCAGCTCCACCAGCAGCGGCTGCCTCAGTCTGCAGTCGATGATGAGTAGCTTTCTTCACCAGCGCAGTGAGGAAACTACTAACCAGCCGCAGCAGCAGCAGCAGCAGCATCAGGTGGACCTGGAGCAGGACCTCAAACAACAGGCTTGGGCCTACTTGGACAGCACCCTGCCAACCGAGGTAGACAATCCCCTTGACTACTGGGCAACGAAACTTGACCTTTGGCCCCAACTAGCTGAATTTGCCCTTGAAAGGCTGTCATGCCCAGCCAGTAGCGTGGCATCGGAGCGCGTGTTTAGTGCGGCAGGAGGTATTGTAACTCCGCAGAGGACACGACTGTCCACCCAAAGTGTGGAGAGACTCACGTTTGTGAAAATGAATCGGGCGTGGATTAGTCTGGATTTCAAACCACCAGTTCCTGACACAACTGACTAAATCCGCCATGAATCATGCCTCAAACATGTTATTATTTTTAACATAGGCCTCTGTATGGCCTTCAATTTAAGCTGCTTATGCTTCGCCACTCTGCCATGGGCCCCTGTACCGCCTCCTCTTGCTGCTGCCA